GGTGCTCAATGGACAAGCTTCCCTGGACTCCTTCCTTGCCCTCTTGGACAATCATGAAGGTAGCATTGTAGTCACTGTTTATGATGTACCGGAAGTCGTGGCTCCAGACCGACAGTCCGTGCCTGAGCAGATGGCTCGCTTGGCTGTTGGGGCCTACGTGCCGCAGAATGCCGTTGCCGACATGGGCGTGCATGCCGCGGAGGGCTGGGGATTCGACTTCGCAATTTGCCAGAATGAGGCAGGGACCCGAGTTTTGCAACCGTTTTTCAGTCGAGTGCGAAGTAGAAGATGCTCAGGCAAATCTCGCCTCTGTCGGGCTCCAGTCGCAGGGCAGCTGTGCAGTCGTCGCTACAGCGGGGTCGCGTTGTGCGATCACTTTCCCTGGGCACGACCTCCAGGACCTTCGTTCATCCGCTGTCAGCTAAAGGCGGTATAGGATTTTGTCCTGCTATCTCAGTCTGAGGTCATCGTGCAGGCTTCAGGGTGACTTGTTGCCCTCGTGCTCGCAATATGGGCTTAGTCGGTTTATCGCAGTAGTTTCTTGCTTGCAAACCTGCGCTTGGTGCATCAAAGTTGGCTTTGGATCCTGTGAACCATGCAAGGCTGCCATTGCATGACAAACACTCGCAGTCAAGGACTGGCTGGCGGGAGAGGACGTCCACGGCCTCTCCAGCAGTCTGATGTCCGATGAAACGGCCATGTTTGAGACTGCAGAGGGCTCCTTCACGGTGCATGCGCAGTTTCTGCAAGAGTATCAGTCCTACAAAGCTTCATCGGCGTGGGCGACCTGGATGGAGATGTCCAGAAGCCCGCGCTGTCAAGAGATCCACATTGTCGGCCACAGCCTCGGAGGACTGGTGGTTAAGCCGAACTCAGCAACCTCCCGTCCTTGCTCGCAAAGCAACCCGTCCCGAACGCTCTTCCTTCCTGTGTCCAGAGATCACCGGGGCCACATCCGTGCAAGTCAGCATTCTTACCACCCTGTCACAACGTTGTTCCTTTGCAGGCCGCACAGGGAAACACGAAAGTGTGATCGTTCCATCTGCTCGGAGGAGCTGTTGCTGTTCTTCATCGGCTGGACCGTGCAATGCAGGCTTCTCCGACATGGCTGCACACATTCGGAGGCCCGAAGCTGTCGCTGGACTGAGTCGTCAAGAATTCTGTTCGACACTTGTATGTTCGTCTCAAGCCAACTAGCAGCGGACTGAGGTTGCTAGGTGAGACGCAGATGGACTGCACCAACCATTTCCGTTATTGGTTGCAGCATGGCGATGACTGTGGAGATCCTGTCACCGCTCTGCCGCCGAGCTTGCACCATGGCCCGGTCCAAAGTGTGCGACTTCTTCGGAACAACTCCGAGATCACGACGGAGCACGGGCACTGCGGTGCTTCTGATGCTGGTAGCAATTGGGAACAAGGCCTTACATCTGAGAGCTGCAGGAGATTGCACGCACCAGAGACCTACCTGACCTCTGTCGTTGACGATGGTTGCCTAGAGGGTCTTGCGTTGCATGTCACCGGCCTTCTAGTGAACGACCAGCATGGTACCACCTTCGCTTACCCAGGAGATCGAGTCGGCGTGACATGGATGTCCTGCAAGGTCTCGACGGTTCTCGTTTCGCTCGAAGCTGGTGCAGCTGGTGATGTCTTGAAATCCTGGTTGGTGGATGCCCGTGCCAAGCGCTTCGTCATGGTATGGGAGGACCGGCCTCTCCGCCAGCATCGCTTCAAGATCTTAGGCGGGGACGACAGCAGGATCTCCTCTTCCTCCAGGTGGTTTCAGACTCCTCCCGCTCGATGCCAGAGCTTTTCAGCTTCTGACGGGGATGCGCTGGCAGGCGCGGGCATACACACCCCGACCCATGTGCCTGAGGAGGCTTCAGAGGGCACCCCAAGCGTGTGCATGACCTTGGACGGGATCTCTCGTTTCCTGCAGAGCTCGATATCGACTGCCTGCTCGTCTCAAATACACAATTTTCTAGTATGTTCACCGCTATATCTCCTCATGCGACCATCATAATGAAGTGCCTGCGAAAACAACTTCTGTCAGATACTTGATCTGGTAGAGTTTCTGCATGGGACCGCACGTATATCCTCCCGCAGCAAGCGCTATCGAAGTCTCCAGGCTTGGACAGAGCCTTGGATGCTGGCACCGCGGCATCCGAAGTCATGCGCTCAACTCTCTGGAGTCAGCTACAAGGCCTCTTGCCGGAGCTGCAGAATCGCGCGGATCAGGCGCGAAGGGCACAGCCGACTTGACAAGACTGCTGAGCCGGTGTCTAAATCCATGCGGTCTGTCTCTTTGGATTTTTTGTGTTGCCGGTGCTTTGCAGAGGAGCTGTCTGCATTCCGAGAGGGTGTTGGCAACTTCGATGTGTCCAACATGCTCGAGGCTGCAGCCAGTGCAGCCGAAGGTCTGGTGGAGCTGATTCGCCCCGTCGTGGACTTGAGCAGCTCCAGTCCAGAGCCAGAACCTGTAACCGAAAAGACCTACCTTTTTAAGGAACTATATACAGAAACCTGAAAAAGGCACTCTGAAAAGGTAGGTCCTTCCGGCTACAGGAACAGGAGCGTGACGCGGAGGTGGACCTGAGTGGCCAGTTCACAGCTTTGGCGGATTCCCAAGCCGAGAGTGCTGCAATGGTGCTCATTGACTCCCAGGTGGATGGCGTCAAATCAATGCTGATGACGACAGCCACGGAACTGATGAACAACTTCGTGCCGTCGCGTGCCTTTGCTTGACTTGCCCGGCTTGGGATTTAGCCGCCGATTCATGTTCTTGATCTGGGGTTAGTGTTTTGCTGCTTCTGCTGTTGCTGCCGCACTATTCGCACCTGCGGGCTGAAGTCTCCGAGATGTGATCACTTCTGACGTCAAGTTCGTCGGCTCGTGGATGCAGTGCGACTTGCATTAAGGGATCTGCACAGAGGGCACATGCTAGACCCATCCAAACCGTGTACTTGTATCGGAAGGTGCATCGTCCTACTTCGCCGGCATGGTCTCGGGAGCTGGGAAGGAGGCTTGTAATCGTAGCACGACGGAAGCCGTGGACGAGTTCACGACGCAGGTTTGGGAGGTCAAGAACCTTGCCCGCAGCAATTTGTTTTGTGCAGAGTGTAAGAGCACAGGGTGGTATACTGTAAGGCGTAGCCGAGTTGCAGGCGGGTCGGGGCGCTAGATGTTTGGCTGCTTCAGCTTGGTTCAGGAACCACGACATTTACAAGAAGCTCAGCTCCTTGGACAAGACGATCTTGCATTTTACGTCATTAGGCTACAGGTTGGTGGACCACGTCTACGCACTCCAGGATGGTGTGGAGTTCTTCCATCGCTTCGCTGGGCTCTTAAAGCCCATCCCCTACGCTGGCAAGGTTGCTAGTATCATCCAGCGTGGCCTGCGTGGCATCAGGAAGTTTGTGGACAAGGTCGCCCGAGCGGCTGGCAAGCTGGAAGCAAGTTTTTTGACTCCGGCTTGCAATGTGGGTCATGCAATTGGTGAAGGCTTGGAATGGTTCCTGAATATTCTGGAAGGGACGGCTTTTGCACTTGATCTTGCAGTACGACCACCATCGAAGCTGCTGAGGGAGATCGTGCGCAACATCAGCTTGTGCAACATGTTGGAGAAGACGGCACCTGTTGGAGATATGGCTTTCAGGACTAGATTATAAACGCATGCCTTTTAATTAAGCGCAAAGGGTTTGGGGCGAAAAACGGGACACCTTTTGTCCACAATGTGTGCACATGTGAGGATCTTGGACGCCACAAGCAAGTTTTCCGGAATCAACCTGCTGCCCACAACTCCCTTCACGCCGGATATTGATGGAGGAATCTTCGCGGCGTGGGACCGTGTGAAGGCTTTGGTAGATGATTTGACGGGACCTTTCCGTGGTATTTGGGATATTCTGCATGCCAAGAGAGAAGTTTGCATGAATTTGCTCCTCACGAAGAAATGTTGGTCGTTTAGATTAAAGGACATTCTTCGCGGTGCCAGCTTTCTCTTGAGTAAGTTCGACTTCTTGCTGGATATTTTCATGACCCCTTTTCAGCCCGTGGTGGATATGATCAGCAGCTTGTTTGAACGCGCGTTTCTGTCTCTTCTTGGAGGCCTGACTCCGGACTTCATCGGCAAGGATGCCATTCCGTTCGATACGGAAGGAGTCCTTCAACTAAGCGATGTCCCTGACCTGAGCTCTGTGAACGCTATAATGCAGCAGAACCCAGAAGACGAGATCCTCAAGGAGGCCCAGCATCGATTGGACGGCTGTCTGCTCCTGAACACAGGCGTTCAAAGCTCTGGGGATCCCATTGACTCACTGCGCTGCGCGCAAGGCAGTCGCGTCGCCTGGCCAATTCAGTGCGACCGCTTTTGCCAAGAGTGTGAGGATTGCGAGCGCTGGTGGATGAAGCCTCAGGAGGGTGCTTTTCTCTGCTTCTTGCACAGGCGCCGCGATGCCTACATGTTGGTGCAAGGTGCAACTGCTGGGATGAAGCGAGACAAGCTCTGTTCAGCTCAGAAGAGCTGTGCAAACCTTTGGGAAGAAGGCCCAGTCCAGCAGTGTGTGGGAGAGCAAATGGGGGTCACGGGCTTGACCTCGGAGAATGAGTGCCGAGAAGCGTGCTGCCATGACTCGCATTGCAACTTGTGGCAATGGCATGGTCAACACGCCGTTTGCCAAATGGGTAGATCGCGAGACTGTAGTGGAGAAGGGGGCTGGGTGGGAGGCCGAAAGAAGCTATCTGCAGCCGAAATGTTCAGCACCATGTGCGAGAACGCGGACAGGGCTCGCGCAAACCCAGCAGACCCAGACCCGGACCTGCAACCGGCACTGGAGCTCACCAGCAGCAGTTGCTTTGAAAAGACCTGTGCCCTGCAGGGAGTCGAGATTCCAGAATGTAGGACTGATGCTGAGGCCTTTCTAGAACAGGAGCAGGAGAGGCACGACAAGCATTGCAAATCCATTCCCAAGTGGGAGGTAGGTGCATGGAGACCGTGTTCCACCAGCCTATGTGGCAAGGAGGGCACGCAATCTCGGGAGGTATCCTGCTCGGTACCAGAAAAGCCGGAGCGGTGCGAAGTGAATGAGCCTATGCCGATCACGTCCAGGCGGTGTGTGGGCCACCAGTGCTTCTGGCAGAACTCGGACTGGGCAGAATGCGATGCACAAGCGTGTGGCAGCATAGGCCGCAGAACTCGAGAAGTGTACTGTGCAGGAGCAAGGCTTGAACGCGCCCCCGCGTACTTGTGCCAGAATCACGATCCGCCTGCCAAGGACGTGGCTTGCTCCAGGATCTGCAATGGTTCCGTTGACGATGCCGATCCGTGCCACGCACGGCGTGTGCAGGCCTTGCCCAGCTTTCTTCTTGTGGGCCAAGAGGAGAGGAGGCATGCAGATGTTGCCGTAGCTGCTGATGCAGCATTCTTAATTGTGGCACCAAAGAGGCAGCTTGCAGACGATGGCGGTGCGGAGGCACAGCTGACCTACCAAGAGTGTGCAGATTTGGCCACCAAGCTAGCCGTGTGCCGGTTGCAGCAGTTCAGCGCTGTCCCTACGGATGCTGGCGGCACTGCAGGCTTGGTTTGGCAGAACAGCCTGTGCCAGAATCGGCTGCTGGACGACATCAACAGAACGGTGCACGAGAACAACCGTCTTCTGAAAGACATGGACAAGAGACTCTCACAGGGGTTTCAAGATATTCAGAATGACCTGAACGATCTAAGATCCAATCTCACAAGTGTGGTGCAGGCAGTAGGCGATCAAGTGACAGCAGAAGTTTCCCAGCGAATTCAGCAGCAAACTAACGTTTTATTAGCAGAGTTTCGGCTTTTGCAGGCAGCCCATTTTAATGCTGTTCGCTGCAACAGCGACCGGCTGCTTGCCGAAGTTGTTTCACGGCTAGAGGAGATGGAAGAACGTCTCGCAGCAAGCATTGGCGACTTGAAGACGGAGATGCAAGCAGGCTTCTCGGAATTGCAAGCGCAGATGGAAGACCTGGGCGACAGGATCCTTGCAGAGCTGGTGGAGAGCAGTGAAGCGGTGATCAGCAGCATCGGCTCCCAGATCAATGCATCCGAAGCGCGATTGAAGACCTTTATGACCACCGCCTTGTCCACGGCATTAGACGCGGCCAGGCAAAACCTGACGCAGGAGATTTTGCTCTCAGAAGCCCGTCTGGCTGAACACGTGGAGCTTCACGTCGTGAATGCAATCAACCAGCTTGAAGCCAGCAACGCCGACCAGACAGCCGAGATACTAGAGTCTTTGGAGATCTTGAAGGCGGGGCTGGAGTCCAGGCTGGTATCGGTGTCGGACGCAGTATCCGGAGTTCTCCGCGAGCAGAGCCTGAATGACGCGCTGCACACAGAGCGCCTGCTTGAGGAGTTGTCCGGCAGCGTTGCAGTCGACATCGCCTCGGCCGCGGCTGCACTGGATCATCGAGCTGCAGAGAGGTCAGAGCACTTGGAGGCAGTGCTGGCGAGCGCGATCTCCAGCAGCACTGGCGTGCAGCAGAACACACTGAAGGCTTTGCAGATAGAAGTCCAGCGTGGCAACTCACAGGCTATTGCCTCAACCCAGGAGACTGTCCTTGCCCTCAGCAATGAAATTCGACAGCACTTCCAGGGGGTGGAACAGGCCATGACCGGCATTGACAGGCTTTCCGAGCTAGTGTCGCAGGAGATGTCGGACGTCAATTCCAGGTTGGATGTGCAGCACGAGTCGATTCAGCAACTTCAGGACGATGTCGGAATCATCTTGAGGCAGATTGATCTGCAGATGCAAGGCATTCAGGTTGTGGAAGATCGCGTTGCATCTTTGCTGGGTAATGTGTCTCAGCTGGCGAGGACAGTGCAGAGCGGTCAGCAAAAACTGTCCGAAATGCTGAGTGCAACGAACAGAAAAATGGACAAGGTGCTCACACACATTCGTCGGCAATCCCGCGATCTGCGAAACTTTCACATTCAGGACATGTTGAGCCAATTCGATGAATCCAGCGTTCTGATCGATGGTGCATTCTTGGACTTCAGCTATGAGCTGCTGCCCAGGGCGACTGGCGGTGTGCGCAGAGTTAGCAACGCACTTCGACAGTACACCTCCTGCCGCGCCTACTGGTCCGACGTCGTCGGATCCCTGCGCAGCAAAGACGGGGATCAGGCTGTTGCCCGCAACCGATTGCGTGAGATTTGGGGTACAGTGCGGGATCGCTTCGTGATCGCCTCCGGCATCCTGACAAAGGGGAATCTGCTCCGCACCGTGGCTGCCAAAGAAAGGCTCAGGTTCCGCAGTGCGCAGTGTAAAGTTTGTTCTGTGTTTGTTGGATCAACACCATTTTGTTAGTTGTAGCTTGGAGCCGGTAGATACGCGGCAGAGCACCCCGGCACAGAGCAAGGCATCAACTTCGAGACAGTGAGCTTCACAGTGGACCAGGCGAAGATGTCAGAGTTGCAGTTCGCCAGCAGTTGTTGGAGTTCAGGTTCAGGTTTTAGGGTCTAGTCTAGGGTTTAGGGTATGGCATGTTGGTTCTTGGGCTTCTCAGCTGGTGAGAGTTGCCCCGCACTCACTGTCCTTCACTGATTGGCCGTGGATTTCCCATCCATGTACGATTCTTCGGGTATTTACCCGGCGCGGGGCGCCCTCGGAAACCGAATGTGCTGTGCATGGTGTCTTTCGGGTCGACAGATTGCACGCAAAGACGAGTGCAAGGTGCATGTAAACAGCTCGCAGAGTCGTAGAGCATATCTTGCTGCTTGACAGTCAATCGAACTCTTCTCAGACCAACGAAAAAGCACGAATAACGTCCGGAAACGATTCCCAACCCGTGACCGCCCGTGGGCGCCGAGGCTTCCGGTGGCTGCAGACTCATGCCAGGCATACCTTGGCCGTCACGGAGCCTTGGCGATCCGCCGGCTCTTGCTCGCAGCTCAGAAGCATTGAAGAGTTTGTTCGAGGGGTTTCGGGTTTAGGGTGCGTAGTCGGGCCCGATTTCAGAGAGAACGGCTTGGTGCATCATCGCTTTTTTGAGCACTTTTGGGAGCGAAGGTGGTGATCCTGCCATGTCCAAGCACTCCTTATAAGAGCTTGAGCAAAGCAAGGAGGGATGTACAATTGTACTGTCTACTGTCACCGAACTGAACAAGTCACCGGAATATGCCAAGGAGCAGCTGAAAGCTCAGCCGCTGGCTTTGGCACAGCGTGCGACTTGGCTCACGGATCTGTTTTTCTGTGGTCAGAAGTAGGATTCCCAACAACTGGAGCTGCTTGGGCCTTCTTTGTGGCTCCTCTGTGATTCCAGGGCGGTTCCTTGCATGCTCCACGTCCCACAGAGCCTGCATGCCCCAACAAACTTGATTCGCCAGGAAACGTGCCCAATGGAGTGATTTATTCGTCCTGTATACGTAAATCACGGTAGTGTGCCCACCTGTTTGTTTGCGTGCTTCCTATCTTCAGTGAAGTCTACTGAACTGACATCGCCTCCATCTATCCGTATGTCCTCCATCATCGGCTTTTGTCAGCTTGGCCTTTTGGTGTCCATGTTGGTTTGTCATGGCATTCTCCTGACAAGCCAAGGCCACGGCTTTTTGGCATGAAGTCATGGAGATTCTTCAGCAGTCCGAAGCTCTGGGGATGACCATCGCATCTTCAGAGAGAAGCCTGATAGAGCGTGCGTACGAAGACTTGCTCCGAGAGATCTTGTTCTTGCGCGAGAGGTTGGTGACCCCAGCAGAAGGGGGTGTCAACATGCTGCAGCGAGCCCACATGGAGATCTTGAACTCGCATTTGCCTCAGATTTGTCCACCTCCTCCGGCATGTGGCACGGCGATCTTCACGAAGTATGCAGAGGACGCCACAGATGAGTTGGTTGTGTGGGGGACGCGCGCTAGCTCAGCAAACGCATCCCTTGAGGCGCTCCTGGTCGTGCGCCAGCCCAGCATTTTGCTGCTGTTGCAAGGCTTGTTCTCCTGGAGTTTTGATTTGGCGGATCCGGACACCTGGCCCCGCCAGTTGCCACAAGGCTTCGAGCAAGCAGTGTACTTGTGTGTTCCCAATGCAGCTGTCTCAGAGGAATCCTCCGGCTCTGCAAGGCAGAGTCCTCAAGGGTACTCTGCCTTTCGGGCCCCTGGACCAGCAGGCTTCGAGAGTGCCTTCCGCTTCTGCAGCGTCCCTGCCGCTCTTGCGGCGGGCAACCTGCGCTGCAGCTCCCCTGTCGACTTTTCGATGGTGCCGGTGGACTCCTACACACCTGGAAGTGGTCTTCAGGAAGACATTTTTGCAGAATGGGAGGTCGAGGCACGGGATGCAAAAGTACTCATTGCCATCTGTGGCAATGGTGAAATCGAATTTGGAGAGGTTTGCGATGAAGGACCATTTGCTTCTGATGGATGCTTGTCGTGCCGCGCAGTAGCTCCTGGTTACAAATGCAAAGCCAACACCAGCTGCACACCTCTCTGCGGAGACGGGCTCCTCTTCGAAGGAATGGAGGAGTGTGATGATGGTGGAATGTTGCAAGGCTGTTCCACCGATTGCAAACTGCAGCTTGATCTTTACAGCACGTTTTGAATGTCTGAATAGTGGCTTCGAGGTAGGAATGTACCAACTCGACCGTGCAGAGTGGATTGTCCTCTTGTCCTCTGTGAGGTTGGCGTGCCAGCGCCAGGAAGTTGGGATCAGTTCACAGTCATTGAGTGGGGCAAGCTCGACAGATCAGGAGCTGATGGCCACGCTGCGCGAGGCGGACCAAGCTTTTCTTCAAGAGTGGATAGTGATGCAGATCCGAGCCAACAGCAGAAAGCGAGAAAAGAACGAATCCCAAACTGAAAGATGGCATTGAGACACTGAGAAATGCGACATTGAAGCGATCAGCTCCCCAATGGCTTGCAACGGCTTGCAGAGCCTCATGCTCCCGAGGTATCCCAAGGCATCAGGTGCAATGCCGAAGAGTTCCTGAAGGGCTGAAAATAAGATGTAGAGTAAGTACCCTTGGCAGAAACACGGGACAGATAATCATCAGGAGGGCCACGGTGGTCAGTATCAAGAAGACGACGAGAAAAGAAGAAGAACGAGAAACAACCGTAATAGTGGTTGGAATAATCAGAAGAAGACAAGCAAGAATACCAAGACGACGATTACGACGACGACGAAGCAACAACAGAAGCATCTTCTGCAGCTGGAACGGGCACGTGTTTCGAGCTCCCAGAAGTGTGCGTGTTAAATTACAAGGGTCAAGCACGAACTGGTACTCGTAAGACTGCTTGCCACCAATGTGGTAATGCTTGTCGTGTAAAGGTTCAACCACTGAGCTTTTCTCCCTGCTGCGATGCCTGAGGTGCACCTGGTGCCGGCCAAGGACAGCAGCCAGCGAATGGAGCTCCAGGGTTACTTCCGCTGCTTCAGTTCCGTGGATCAATTTTCCGACATTGCTGTCGCCTTGGCCGACTGCCGGGGAGCGACGCGGCTGTCGTTCCTTGGAGAAGTCAGCGCTGGGCAGATGATTCGGCATGATATGGAGCTGGAGACCGCCTTTGACCCAGTGGGCGACATGCACTACGAGGCAGGGCCATACCAGCTTCGAGCCAGATCCGAGGCAAACGGAACGGAGGTCTTGTTGAGCTGCAAGACTGGCTTCCTGTGGGAGCAGTGCCGCTTTTGGGCCGTGCAGCTATCCGAAGAGACCATGCCCACAGCTTTGTCGCTAAGCCAAGATGGTCTGAGCTCTGAGCCTCTGGAGTTCATGGAGGGAGCGCTAGAGATTTGGATCCCGCCAGACTCATCGCGGTGGCTTTGTGAGGCTGCCGACCGGCTGCCCTTGAAATGCGGAGATGGGAAGCTGGCCGGTCCGGAGGAGTGCGACGATGGCAACACCGACTCAGGCCGGGAAGCCATGAATGAAACTTCAGGGGAGCAGTTGTCTCACTGTGAAAGTTGTCACGTCGCCCAACTAGCGCCAAGTACCCTAGGCATCCCAGAGGTCCAGACTTATCCACTACATGTCACCAGTTCGTTTCCAGCTCCGTGGATAGATCGCAAGGAGATGGATGCAGCGCGTCCTGCTTCTCCGAGCCCGGTTTCCTATGCCCAGATCCTGGGATCAGTTGCTCCGAAGTCTGGTGTGGGGATGGAGTCGCAGGCGACCTTCCAACTCAATGCGATGTGGGTTCCGAAAGTTTGGGTTGCCAGTTCTGCGCAGTGAGCTCTGGCTGGCTGTGCCACGAAAATTGCTCTGAGTCCGAGTCTTTGGCCGCACCTCCATCCGCTGAAGCGACTGTTGTCAACGTGTCCGATGACGCAGACTCCGACGACACCTTGGCATCGGTGTTTTTCAGTCCAGCTCCCGAATTCTGCTGCTTGCAGGGGCCGAAGCCCAAGAATTCCAGCTGCATCTTGGGCCAAGACTGCCAGGTGTTTCTGGAGCTCCCTGGCACCTCCGCCTCAGGACTGCTCATTACTCCTGGCCTCGGGGTTTGTGGAGACACAGCCGCTCAGCCGACCTTATGTGGGGAGAAGAAGGGGGCAGGTCCAGGTATCTCGTAGAGGTCAGGAGCGCTGTGTCTTTGGGTTGCTTGACTCATGCATGTGGTGCTTTTCACTGGCCGCTGGCCTCGGTTACCTTGTTCGTGTCTGTTGCCTCTGCTAGTGGGCTTGATTTTGTTGCGAACCTTTTGTGGCAATCTGGCTTTTCTGATGTTGTCTCGTGGAAAGAAGCCGGCAAGACACAGAGACAAAAGCTCTTCTGCCCCTGCCTCCGGAGTTTTGGCCAAGGCAATCATGACATGGGACGGACTCTCCAATCCGTCCCCGGTGGAAATTCGCGACGGCTGGCAATTCTTCAATTTCGGACGGCCGGATAAGATCATTCATTTCTGTTTGCCCAAAGCGGTTCCCTAAACCCGAAGGCCCTAAACCCTAAACATCCCAAAGCCATCCCCGGCACTCACCCACAACTGGCCCGACATCCCAATTCGCTTCTCTGCCATGGGAGGCCACTGACGGTTCCGGTGGGCAACTATACTCTATGTTGGGGCCCGGATCCCGCCGGTCGGTGGGCCTCAGAGGCCAGGATTTCGGGTCGAGAGGTTCAGATTTTAGGGTTTGGTAGCCTCGGGCAGTTTCTCGTTTGTGTTCATCTCGCACGATGCACGAGCCGGTGCTGTCGGAAGTTGAAGTATGTAGAACATAAACGGCTTCCTTGCACCGCATGCGCACATTCGGAAGGTACTCAGTGCACGAACTGAGCGTGTGCGGAGGTGTTCAATCTTCGAGGCCACGACTCGACGAAATCCGGAGCTCTGAGCAGAAAGGCGACTTACCCTTTCGACGTTGGGCAGCTCATCCTTGGAGGACCCAAGGCGCAAAGAAGCCCTGTCTCAGTTTGCCCCAGTAGAATTAGAGGGTTCGGGCGGTATTCGAGCCAAGGCCAAACTCAACTAACAGCATGAGCGTGAAAGCATTGTGCTTGTTTGGGCAGCGTGGCTTGCAGTGGTATTCCGCAGAATGCGGGTTTTTTCTGTCAACACTGGCTGCAGATTGCCTGAACAGTGCATAGAGATACCCCATCGACAGAGTTTACGTCTCTAACCTCGGCCCTGCAGGCGAATCAAGTGTTTCATTGCACGCTGGGCGTCCCCTGCGACATCGAGCTGGAGGGCTATCAACTTCCGGCTCAAAGCGCGGTGTCCCTCGGTGGCCTTGTCGTCTGGGCTGTGCATCAGTGTGGTTGTCCTTTCCCCACCCTCGGTGAAGGGTTGTTAGGTTTGAAAGTCAGCTATTCTCCGGTCTACTCCTCCACCGCTCTCCCGACACCCAACCCCAGAAAATCCTTTCAGAATCTCTGGAGAGTATAACTGCATTACTGGCAACTGCTCTTGTTACTCTGGTCCAGCATACTAGACTGTAAGTACAGATGCACCAAGGCTTGCCGTGGCCGGCAGCTGCTCGGACAGCGTGCTTCGACCTGCAAATGTGGACTACGTGCGGCTTCAGGTGGACAGCGCTGGAGCTTGGGACGGAGACAGGGCACACTTTTTCTGGAACGATACGGAGATTCCGGTTGAGGAAGCGTCAGACTTGGTCTTCGTCGTTTTCGACCCATTCCAGCAGGGCTCCCCGATTCATTTTGGATTCAATGCCAGCTCCATGAGATCCTCAGATATCGTGCACGCGCTTCGCAGCGTGGCTGATCAATCCCTGGTTCTAGTTGCTGCAAAGGGGTTGGTTTCTCCCTTGGGAACCTTTGCACCTCGGCTCCTTGCACAGCTCACGGCAATGGGTGCTCAGAAGCTCAGCAGCGAAAGTGCCTACGTCTCCTATGCCCTTGCGCTGTTCGGAGGACAGGCTCTGGCAGAGCAAGGTGCAGGACCAGGAGAGGGTCCGGCCGTGATTCAGGAGTTTGTGTCCACCGCGGCTTCCCCCAAAGCGGCAGAGAAGGCCGGACGAATCCGGTTCGGACAGTTCCGTGGAAGCGCCGGCATTCTCACCCTTTGCTGGGAGAGCCAGCTGACACGGTGGAGCTCCTGGCGTGGACAGGGCTTCAAGGTGGATGTGGGCCGCCTCCACGTCGAGGGTCCCTTTCCCGGTAAGTGGACATGCTTTGCAGGAAGCCCTTGCGCTATCACTCTGCAGGGCCAGGCTCTGGCAGACTTCGCTAAGAGCGAGATCACCCTCGAAAGTAGGCCGGGCTCTGGCTATGCAGTGCCCTCGGATGGGTCTGAGGACTCCGATGCCGAAGACAGTCTCGCAGTCATCGGTTGGCGCCGTGGTCCTTTGGCAGGTCAAGTCCAAGATATGGGAGGAGCGGCTTTGGAGTTCTCCTTGGGAGTTGCCTTGGAAAGGAAGCTTGTCGCGCTTGCTGTGTACTGGAGGGCAGCCCCAAGCACGAAGTGGACTTTCATCGGCAAGCTTCATCTTCAAGAGCATGTTTGCCGTCTTGTGGAGGAAGGGCCTGGAGAAGCTCACAATTGTTCAGACGTCCCCTTCGGAGACTTGGCTGTCCTCCTGTGACTTTCTCTTCGCTGTTTCGCTTGTGGGGCCCATCCTTCTTCTTAGCAAAAATAATCTGAAACAAAAAAGCAAGTAAGGAGCCTCGTGCGTGAGTCGATGTTTGGCTGGTTGGACAGGGTCTGTCAACACTCTCGTCTGCGAAGCCGATGGGCAGCTGACAGGACAGATCAGCACCACCAAGGGATACCAGTATAGCCGCCAGTACAGTATAGCTTGTTCGGTTGTGCTAGTCTGCCCAAACAAGAAGCATGGTCCCAAAGCATTGCTCTGTGAAATGTGTTGGAATGACGGAGCCATACGTTGAAGCCGCTGCCACCATGGCTACGCAACGCCTCCAAGCAGGATCACAGCCAGATTGTCGAGAAAGCCGATGCGAATCTGTGTCGCTGCACGCGTTCAAGGAGCAGGACAAGGTTCTGTTGCAATGAAGCCGAACCCTAGACCCTATACCCCTGAATCCTAGCGCCATGATGAGCGAGGCTTTGTCCCAGTCCTTTTTGCGAGGAGGAGTGCAGATGTTCTTCGGGCTTTTTTGGAAACATCTCGTGGCAGCAAGATCTGCAGATGCATCTTGCTTTCACTCACTTGGGTTGGACAAGTCATCAGTTCTTGTGGACAGCTTTTTCGTTTGCATGAGAGTTCGGCTAGTTGCATGCCGAATCTCTCTTGCATGGCGTGCCTTTTACAAGTTGGCAGGGTGTGTGAGTGCAGTCAGCATCAATCCGAGAATACCAAGTCCATACTGCATGAACGATGCATGCATGTGAGTGCTGCATATGTGAGGTACATGGGAAGCTGCCGGAGTTGCCAAGATGCACTACTCGCATGCGAGGCGGGCCATTTTCGAGATGGCACCCTGTCTTGAATTTTACACAGTGTTTCGTACGAATCCTCGCATTCGTCTCTTTGCCCTAGCGGCGGTTGCAGCCAGTGTATAGGAAATAGAAGTGCTACCGCTTCACCCCTGGTCACATAAAGCATGCATGTGCTTGATGCAATGAGCGCTTCGGCACCTTTCTGGTATGCAGGGTCATCTTATCTTCATCCATCTTAACCAGCTAGGCCAGCCGTGTCCGTGTCTAAGAGATGAAAGCTCTGTCAACATCCTTCCTGCAGCATAGCTGTGAGATTTGTCAAGACCCAGGTTGTGGTGGACCGTTTGTGGGCGAGTGCAAGCCTTGTGTTGGTCTGGCGCTTGGGAACTATTTCACTTCGCACGGAGGTTTGCAGTCGACCGGCTGCCTGCAGGGCAGCTGTGTGAGGTGCGCAGTCGGCCAGTACACTTCTGGATGTGCAGGTACATCTCCTGGAGAGTGCAAGCCCTGCACCAATGCTCCCAACGCCACGCCTCCAAGCAATTATTACAGCAGCAACGGGGGGGTCACTGGGCAGTGCGCTCTTGCGGACTGCCTGAGAAACTGCCCCGTCGGCCAGTATCGCAAAGACTGCGGGGGCACGTCGCCGGGCTTCTGTGCCATGTGCGCTCGGCCTCCCTCCGGCCGCTTCCTCAGCTCCTCCGGTGGCCTCGAGGATGCCTGCGAGACATCTCCGTGTCCGGAGTGCTTGCCAGGGTTCTACCGCACGGGATGCAGCATGGCAGATGAAGGGGCCTGCGTGCCGTGCTCCAATGGGCCAGGCGAAGGTTTCTACTACACCACTCATGGCAGCACCCGCAACAACTGCAGCTTCACTGCTTGCAGTGATTGTGCCGTGGGCTGGTACCGACGAGGATGTGCAGCGAGCTACTCGGGAGAGTGTCACCCGTGCACATTTAAGCCGCCGGAAACTTACTACAGTGGCCACGGAGGAGTAAGAAATCAATGTCCCTACAGTGAATGCGGCAAAGGACCCGATGAGTGCCCTTTGGGACAGTACAGGGACAACTGCGGCACCATGAACGACCCTACCAACTCTGGCATTTGCAAGAATTGCACTGAACGTGCTCAGAACCACTACTTCACCGGCTTCTTTCGGGCAGGATGGCAAATTTTGCTGGCACATGCAGTATACTTCACTTAGACTCCCTTCCCAATACCTAAATCCTTTCACTTAACCGTGCTGTTGTGTCGGGGATCTTAGGCCATGGAGGCACTTCTCCGCGCGGTTGTCCACAAGAACCTTGCCAGGCGTGCAGTGTCGGATTTTTCCGACTTGGCTGCGGCATGGGCGGTATCAATCCAGGCCCAAGGATCTTGATGAGCAGATAAGCTTTAGATATCACTCTGTTCGGGGTTTTTTCGCGAGTCGTATAGTGCCCTGAGACTAGGCAGCTGCGAGCCATGTCGACACACAGCAGACCACTATTTTACCAGTCACGGTGGGTTGGTCCTTGAGGTTGGTGAAGGCGTGGTGCCAGCGGAGTGCCCGCAAGCCTCGTGCTGGAATTCCAGTAGCAACTGCCCAGCGGGCTATCGGCTCGGAGGCTGCGGTGAAGATGAACATCATGTGTCTCCTGGCAACTGCCTACCGTGCGGTGCCGGAACATACACAAGCCGGGAGAATTGGCACGAGCCTTGCCTTGTTTGTGATGCGGGTTACTTCTCATTGCGTGGAGCTACAGCCTGTTCGGCATGTCCATCAGGCAAGTTCACAGATTCTGAAGGCCAGTCTGCTTGCAGCTGGTGCATCGGGGGCAGCACCAACACAGAACCGCCAAGGACGAGTTGCACAGAGTGTGAGGATGGGAAATTCAATCCAGTCGAATCACGAATAGACGAATGCCAAGAGTGCATCGGAGGTGAAGTTCGTCGGCGTTCAGTCAGGCCTGGTGCTGTAGACTGCACAGAATGCATTGTGGGCTACTTCGACAATGACACATCCGATGGCGAAAACTGCACTCAGTGCATCGGGGGCGAGGTCCGACGGCGGCGGGCTACTTCATGCGAGGGAACTCTACCAGGCCATGCAAAATCATGCAACGCATGTTGCAGGAATAAAGGAGCGATTTCTACGTGCATGTACTTCGTAGTGTGTGGCATTCGACAGTATAGAACTCGCACGCAACCGGTGTGACGTGGATGTCCATTGTACTGTACGCAGGCTGCTCTGAGTGATACTGGGTCGATGAGAGCGCTGCTTTATGCGCTTACGTACCACTTCATGTCTAGCTCACATATGCAGCGCGCTACAAAACAGATATAGCACCACAGTGGACGAAAATAGCCTTGCCCAGGCATGTACAACGAGGGAGACCGCGACGAGGCGAGAGAGTGCATTGGTGGTTGGGTCCAGCGTCGCCGTTACAGCAATAGCTGCACAGCATGCGAAGACGGCTTTTGGGACGAAGCCGCCAGGCAGGGGCCCAAGTTCTGCACCTGCAGGAAGGTTGGATGAAAAGAGCCCGTGGCAGAAGCTGGACTAGATTAAATATACAGCATAGGCTGCAAGCTGTAGAGCAATCTACAGTGGAACATGTTGAAGGTGACCCGAAGTTTAGGACCCATCCAGTCCTTAAGCCATCACATCTGTACAGGGACCGCTCCGAATCCGACCCTGACGACTGCCAGCGCTGCATCGGAGAGGCTCGACGGCGAACGGTGGGCCAACGTACCTTCACTGCGACGCAGTGCGATGCTTGCGATCCGGGCAAGTACAACGAGAGAGCTGGCGTTTCAGACAACTGTTCGCAATGCCATGGCAACATCGTGGATGACGGCGGTGGCTGCAGCATGTGTGAGCCCGGAACCTACAAGAGTGCAGCTGAGAGCTCCTCAGATGTATGTCTTCCTTGTTTGGGCGGGCGGGTGGTGGGTCGCCGCTCTGCCGATGAATACTCGACTTGCGAACCTTGCCCAGCAGGCAGGGGGTCTCCAGCCAGTGTCGTGGTCATGACTGCACTGCAGGGCAAGCATGTCATGAACAGCAAATTCTGAGTGTTAGTGCCATTTGCCCTGCGCAGGACAGTACAAGCAGTACAAAGATGGAGACGGAGACCATTGCGAAGCGATTCCAGCAGGCTACGAGGTCCAGCGTCCGAAGCCACACCCTTGGAGTGAGCCAGGCCCATTCCTCAACGGTACTAGTTTTGGACCTCGGGCTGAGACCTGTTAGGAAAGCCGGCAGGGCGCGCCATGCCGTTAAGTTGACACTCTGCCCTAAACCCCTTCAGCCCCGCTGTTGCTGTGCAAAGCGTCTCCTGACAGGCCAATTAGTCGAGTGCAGTCCTGGCTGGGCATCGTCGGGCAATCCAGACCGAGACTAGGTGGCAACTTGGGAAACTTTAAAATTCCCTTATGGTTTCTATAGAGGTACCTATTCATAAATACTTTTCAGGGCCCCAAAACTACAACCCAGGAGACCAAGATGCCTGTGGAACTTGCGCAGGGTACGGAGTAAGCCTCGACAGCCGGCGCCTGCGTGTTGCCTGTAATGCAGCTCGCTGTGGAGCTGGCCGGTACAACGACGGAACGTTCGATGACTGCGAGATTTGCAATGGCGATGTACAGCAAAACAGCAAATTTTGCCAACCATGCGACAGTAGCAAGAACAAATATGATCCTGGCCCAGGGCTTGGCTGTCAGGACTGTCGTGGTGGCACTGTCGTGGATGGAGAGTGTGAGCTGTGCAAGTTGGTTGATCCGTATTACCAGTTCAGGCCGGACAATGAGGACAATTGCCGGAACTGTTACGGAGGAGTAGTCGAGCAGAGTTTGAGAACTGCATGCGTAGCCTGCCAAGTGGGCACCTTTGTACCGCATGGGACGAACGCCTGTGTCAATGGTATGACGTGCCAGATCAGCGACGACCGCACACAGTGCACAGCCTGTCTGCCTGGGCGGTTCAAGTATGACACGACGGGCGATGACTGCGATGCTTGCAAGCCCGGCCACACTGGACAGAACTGTGAGCTCTTTGAGTCCGATACGCCTGAGTGTGAGGATGACATCTACAAGAAAGCTTCGCACTGCACGCAGCAGTACGGGAAGCAGTACTATGCGCGCACTGTCTGTTTGGATGATTTTTGCCCGGAACGTGGTGATGGTCACGCGTGGTGTGTAGCGGACGGTTACACAACACCGTCGGTGTGCGCCACTCCGGAAGGATACTTTGACACTCCTCCCACATGCATGTATCTCAAGGCCTGCCGAACCTTCACGGGTCATACATGCGAGGAAAAGACTTGCTTTGGCATGATTCGCAAATACAGCTGCAGACGTTGCTGATCCCACAGGGTCACTGGACCTGCAACAGAGCACTTGTCACAGAATTGGGCCGTGTGTATTCCAAAGGCTCAGGACACAATGGCTCGAGCGCAGATGGTAACATATGCAGGCAGGCCAGCGACAGCTTAGCCTGTCGGGAAGTTGGTTGAGAGCGTTTTCAGCCTACGACCTTCCGGCAGAGTTCAGAGCTGCTGAGAATGCTGTGAGCTCGGTTATGACATCCGCCTTAATTTGCAGAGCAAGAGTATCAAGAGTATGCTTTGAGCCAGGAGGTTCGGAAAGCAGCTCCAGGAGAAAAGCTGTGCAACACCAAGATGCAGTGATCGATTTTTCTCGACTCTAGGTGTTTGCATACATGAAAGAGGGTCTGTGTCACGATTGTGGTGAGTTGCATACCAGGTTTACCGCGAGCGTACATGGCCTTGCGTGCTGCATGACTTGTTCGACTGCGCACTCGCACGCTTTGAGTTTCACCTGCCATGCGTCTAGGATTCGGAAACTTAGGAGCTTGATGAGGTGCATGTTTAGGGTTTAGGGTTTGGTGCACGCGTGTCAAAGCGGTGGAGTGCAGCTTCTCTCCATCAGCCTCGGCTCGTCAGCTACTCAGCTACTCGTTCTGCTCCTTGGTTGACTTGTCATACCTTGTCATCCCACTCACAGAGATAACACCCTAAACCCCAAACCCCAAACCTTCCTGAACAAAAAAACCCTAAACCCTAAACCCTAAACCCTCTTTTATAAAGAGCCCTAAACGGTAAACCGTTGATCCGGTATGTTTGGTTCCTGGCAGCTGGCCTTGGGAGGTTCAGTGAGCCGAACCGAGAAAGACTTTGTGACTTGATCTTGTAGGGTGTAGGGTTAGTTTAGGGTTTAGGGTTTAGGGTCATCTGCTTCTTGGACGGCTTTCTGTGATGTTGCTGGAGCATTGTTCCAGTTGATGCACCTCGCCATTCAAGCAGTCCTTGTGCGCCGCAGACTCAATGATGGCTTGTGGGAGGAGTTGTGCGCTGTGTATGTTTTTTTACCAGACGACAAGAAACGGAATCAAATGGAAGTCAGCCGCCCACGCTCTTCCCCCCCCCACATCGCAGGGCAGCGAAAACGTCAGGCGACAAGAAACGATAAACACAACGAACGCAAGGAACGCATGAAACGAAAGCAATCAGGAGACATCCAGCACGTCCACATTCTCCCTTATGCATCGGGTCCAGGCTGGTTCGGATTGTCTGCAGTACTCGGCTTGTCCATCAGAGTTCACCCAGGAGCAATCTTGTTTGTGGAGTAGGGCATGGCTGGATGATGAGACCGCTCGTTGTCTACGACGAGGAAGCTGTCTTAAGAACACTGTCGGTGGCTCGATCTGTCTCGAATCTGTCCGTCTCCGACACAGGAGAGCATGTAGGTAGGGGAACACGTCCACTTGGTCACAGACACACCCGCAGAGAAAAACGCTTCAGCTCTTGAACAGACTGTTACACTCATGCTTAAACACGAAGCTGAGTCGCGAAACCGCGAGCAGAAGGGAGGTCGATACCAACGTTTGGGAAGGTTGTACGACACTCTTCGGATGGGGCACAGGCACGTATGATCTCAGCATGCAAAGTTCAGTGATTGACATGTGAAGTTCCTGTGCCGATGTGGCTCAGCGGTAGTGCCGTAGCATTATTCAGATTCTAGCAGTTTGTGAAAACAGCGCCCGGTTCGTGCTTGGTCTGCGAACATGGCCTTTCGTTGGACTTCTTCCATGTTCGTCGCCATCCTGACCGGTTGCTGGTATTGATATTGTGTTAAGGACCGGAACTTAATCAAACATTCTCAGCAAATAGGGTTCTACAGCGAAGAGTATCTGGTTATACGTAGACAATCCGCACCCATCTTTTTATGGAAAATGGCTATATTTCCATGTGTCCGCTTTAGAACTATGTGGGGGTTTCCGAAAATAGGGGACCCTAATATAGCACCCTAAATAATAGGATCCTTATTATAAGGACCGCAAAATACGGTACCCCTTATTTTCGGAAACTCCCATGTCATCTCATAAGACTTCCAGGTTGGGGAGGCAGCTGGCCCCGTGTGCTTGGCTTTCGCTGGGGCTTCGAAGAGGAACCTACGCAGCCGCCCCGGGATCCGCCCACCGCAAAGGCGCGGGCTTCTGAAAATCGTATGGCCAAGTAACCCTAAGCCCTGAACCCCAAACCCTAAACCCAGCTTTCAGCATCCTTCACAAAGGGGAGTCCATCTATGACGAATCCTGCTGCTTAGTAGGGCCTTGTTATAACTCCTAGGTGGCTTGTGGAACCCTGAACCTAAAACCTCAAAACCCAAACGAATTCCCGAGGGTTCTCTTCCTGAAACTTCCAAACCTTAAACCCTGAACCCTAAGCCTTATGAGTGGTTGCTCTTTTGGTGCAAGCCTCACATGAGGCAGGCTCGCTCAGACGAAAAGGCCTAAACCCTAAACCCTAAACCGTAAACCCTAAACCCTAAACCCCAGGTGGCCTGTGGAGCTCTGAAGGGCAGCTGGGAGAAGGGCGTGGCAGCTTTCCGCGGCATCCCCTATGGAAAGGCGCTTGGGATGTTTAGGGCTTCGGGTCTTAATCCCCTAAACCCTAAACCCTAAACCCTAAACCCTAAACCCTAAACCCTAAACCCTAAACCCTAAACCCTAAACCCTAAACCCTAAACTCCTAAGCCTCTGAAGCCTTAAACCTTAAAGCCCTAAGCCCTAAACCCTAAACCCTCAAGCCCTGAACGTTAAACTCCAAACCCTACAACCCTAAAGCCCTAAACCCTACAGCCCTAAACCCTACACCCTAAACCTTACACCCTAACGTAGGAACCTGATTCAGAAACCCTGGCCCTAAATAGTACCCGACGTTTCTTAATCAGGTTCCTATATTACACCTGAGTCCCACACCCTAAACCCGAATCTCCTAACCCCTAAAAACCCTAAAACCGTAAAGCCCGAAACCCTAAACCCCAAAGCCCTAAAGCCCTAAAGCCCTAAACCCTACACCTTAATATGCTAACCCCCACGCCCTAAACCCTAAAGCCCCAAGCCCTACACCCTACAGCCCTAGACCCTAAAGCCCTAAAAACCTAAACCCTAAGCCCTAAACTTTAAACCCTAAACTTTAAACCCTACACTTTAAACCTTAAACCCTAAACTCCCTACACCTTAATCTCCTACCCCCTACGCCCTAAACCCTAAAGCCCTACACCCTACTGTAGGAACCTCGACTCTACGCCCTCAATGGTAGTAATTACTCATAATCAGGTTCCCATATTACACCTTAATCTCAACCCTGAACCCTAAACCCT